CTTTCCTTCCCTCATCGGAAATGACCAATTAAAGTCGTCAGTAGCAGCATCATCAGAAACAACTAATGTTGACAGACGTAGAGAGAGAGAGAGAGGGACAGAAACCAGCAAACAGAAAAATTGAAACACTTACACTCACACACTCAAACACTCAAACAATCACATCCAACCAGCCAGTAAATTAACCAGTAAACCGGAGGCTTGAAGGTCGGAAACGTGAACAGAGAAGCTGACAAACAAAGTGACGGGGGCAGTTTTCAGCTTTCTGGACGATTAACCGGCAAACATTCTGCAAACTGCTGTTTGGCAAATTACTTTTGGTAGTGGTGGTGGTTGCCAGCCCCTTCTTTCTCTTCTTATTATAAGTTGTTAGAAAATGGAAAAATTGAAGAACGATCAGCATCCTGTGCGCCTCCTTTCCTTCCTCCTCTTTAGCTGAGCTTCAGTTGATCACTTGAAGACAGGAGAGAGCGAAAGCAAAAGGAGAACAAACCAAGATGGACTGTGGGTATATAAAGTGCCTGCTCAAACACTTTCTCTTCATCACAATTCCTTTTCATTGCATGTGTTACCCACTTCAAACTTAATCACTTGCAATGAAGTTTCTACTTCTCTTCGCCTTTCTCACTCTTGTCACCACCACCTGCTGCTCAGCTACACCAAAGTACCCGCAGCACATCAACATTTTCCACGGCGAGGGCTGCTCAGCGGACGACCTCTTTGTAAGCCGTTTCAAGCCGCAGATCGCCGCCCTCGGCCCTGATGTGGAGCGCATTCTCCAGGCAGTGCTCGCCAAGGGCGGGCCCCAGGCGGGCAAGACCTACAGCTCGCTGGCCACCTTTGTGGACCGCTTTGGCCCCCGAATGACCGGCAGTCAGTCGCTGGAGGACGCCATCGACTACATGATTACCCGGCTGAAGAAGGAGGGCCACCAGAATGTGCACGGCGAGGAGGTAGAGGTGCCGGTTTGGGTAAGTGAAAAATGAAAACTTCTGTTTTTTAAAAACTTTTCACTAATTCCCTTCCTCATTCTTTTCTAGACCCGAGGTCGCGAGTGGGCCGAGATGGTCGCCCCTCGCCACAAACGCCTGCCCATCCTCGGTCTCGGCTACAGCGTCGGCACTACCACCACTGCTGGCGCCACCAGCCCCACCATCACCGGAAATCGCACCCTCGAGGCCCCGGTCCTGGTGGTGCGCAGCTTCGAGGAGCTGCAGCGCCGCGCCGCCGAGGTCGCCGGCAAGATTGTCGTCTTCAACTACCACTACAGCAACTACAGCGCCGGGAAGGGCTACCGCATGAACGGCGCCTCGATGGCGGCCAAACACGGCGCCGTAGCCGCCCTTATTCGCTCCGTCACGCCCCTCTCCATTGCCTCGCCTCATACTGGAGCATTGAGTAAGTGAACTGGTTTACCCTTTTGCTGTTAAAGTCTTTTTACTAAAAAACTGTTTTTTCTTCTGTTAAACAGAGTACCAGCCCAACGTGGTGAAGATCCCCGGCGTCAGCATTACAGTGGAGGACGCGGAGATGTTTCAGCGACTGGCTGATCGAAAAGGTAAACAAAGGGAAAACCTCAATTTTTAAAGCTTTCTTAACAACTTTTTCTTCTCTTCTTTTCAGAGCACATCATCGTCCGCCTGTACTCTGAGAACGCCCTCTCCCCAAAGGCGGCCACTTCGCGAAACACCGTCAGCGAGCTGGTGGGCAGCCGCCACCCGGAGCAGGTGGTCCTCGTCAGCGGCCACCTCGACT